CCCGATCCTGTAGATCTGGATCCACCCCCTTGGCTATGAAGTACGCCACCAGAGCGGTGTGGGCGAACTGAGCTGCAATGTGTATGCAGGAGCAGCCCTCCGCATCCCGGATCCGTGGATCGGCCCCGGCGGCCATGAGCAGGACTACGGCACCCAGATGGCCCTGTCTGGTAGCCCAGTGCAGGGGCGTGGCATTCAGCTCACCCCCAACGGCATCAACGGTGGCGCCCTTCTCCAGGAAGTACCTGATGATATCTCGTCGATTGTTGATCGCCGCCCAATGGAGGAGAGTGACCGTCTCGCTATCCGGCTGGTTCACATCCCAGCCAGACTCGACCAGCTCCCGGACCCTGGCTATGGCGCCGTACTGGGTGGCCTTAACGATATCGAAGCCACTGTAATCGGGCTCCACTGGGGCGGTGGGTGGTTGCTGGGCAATCAATGCCGACTGCCGTTCGTTATCGGCCTGATTGCCTGCTCCAGGGACACAAGAGCCAGTTGTGGCCGCATTGCAGGCGCTTTGGTACATGATTTGCGATTATTGCTCAAAATGTGATTCACTTCGATACGACGTTCGTAACATTAACCATCCCCCTCCTTCCAATGCAACGCGTGCGAGAGAGAGACAGTCGGCAGAGAGAGGAGAGAAGAGACGACACCCCCACCAGGCGATGGTCGGTCGGGTCGGACAGGTAGTTCACGCTCACTGCCACCTTGTCATTTCAGTTACTCCTGCAGCAGCCGCTTTTTTTTCCTAATACGAACCTCGCATAGGACATAGGACCACACGCGAAGCTAAATTTATTTATTTACACGGCTATCGGGGGGAGGGGGGCTATTAATTTAATGCGTTTTACATCCAGTGTGACCGCGGACTTATCGATAAGATATACGGTGTGACCCTCAGAAATATACCAAAATATACGGTCCCAGTGTAAAAATATACCGTAACTATACTGACGAATTATTTGTATTCATGCCATCCTCGGTTTTGATATGCGGTTTAACAACAGCTACACACTTAATTCACATTTGCTGCATATGAACTACATTATGTAGTTTCAAAAATGGTTGACCTTTTTTTCATATGAGCCCCATGGAAGCGCCAGTGTGAGAAACCTCCGTTATCCAGACGCTCAGAAATATACCAAAATATACCGTCTCATTTTCAGAATACACTGTAAATATACCGATGAAAAAACGAACTTAGAAACCTCTTAATTTAAACTTGATAACAAATTTAGTTAAACCGCGGAATTCCATCCTATCCCTATCCTATCATATTTACTTTCAGCTGGACTACGCTAAGATTCTTAAATTTTCTTCATCTTCTTGAAGTATATATTAATAGGCACTGGTCTACAATGGATTAATCATATTCCTTGATTTTGATATTCGGTTTATTATTGCTAGCTATCTTGGTCTAACCGCAGCTAGAAACGACTAGTTACTGCATTCATGAGTCTAAGATGACAAACATTTCCTCAATTATAAAATATCCTTTTCCTAGGGTATGCTGAGTGTTACGAAGAACTGCCAACAATTGGCCGTTTCCCAGCACTGTTTGGCAGTGCTTAAAGCCCGCCTTATTTTTTGGCATCAATCTGCCGTTCCATGAGTCCATGAGTTTATTCATTTATTTATTCACATAGACCATTTATGATGGACGCCAAGCGTAAATTTAATAGCAACACCAATGGCCAGGCCAAGAAGCCCAGGTGAGAGTGAGCGTAATTGCGAGGTGGTGAAATGCACAGTAAACCTTCTCTTTGGGCCCCAGAAATCCCGACGAAGATGAGGAAATGGACTTCGAGGCCGAGCTGGCGGCCTTTGAGAACAGCGAAGAGCTAGACCAGACTCTACTCCTTGGCGAGGGACCCGAGAATCAACAGACAAGCGAGCGGTGGTCACGGCCAGCACCTCCCAAACTGGATCCCAGCAAAGACAACTTGGAGTTCCAGCAATTGGATGTGGAGAACTATATGGGCCAGCCGCTGCCCGGCATGCCCGGAGCCCAGCTGGGACCCGTGCCGGTGGTGCGCATGTTCGGTGTCACCATGCAGGGCAACTCCGTGTGCTGCCATGTGCACGGCTTTTGTCCGTACTTCTACATAGAAGCCCCAACGAAATTCGAGGAATATCACTGCGAGAAGCTGCAAAAGTCGCTAGATCAGAAGACCATAGCCGATATACGCAACAACAAGGACAATGTCCAAGAGGCAGTGCTGATGGTGGAACTGGTGGAGAAGCTCAACATCCATGGCTACAACGGAGACCAGAAGCAGCGGTACATCAAGATTACAGTGACTCTGCCACGGTTTGTGGCCGCCGCCTCGCGCCTGCTCAAGAAGGAGGTGATCATGGCCGAAATCGATTTCCAAGACTGCCGCGCCTTCGAGAATAACATCGACTTTGACATACGCTTCATGGTGGATACTGGCGTTGTTGGCTGCAACTGGATCGAGCTGCCCCAGGGCCATTGGCGGCTGAGGAGTGGTAACAGCAAGCCGCTGCCTGAATCCCGCTGTCAGATTGAGGTGGATGTGGCCTTTGACAGGTTCATCTCCCACGAACCCGAGGGGGAATGGTCCAAGGTAGCCCCCTTCCGCATCTTGTCCTTTGACATTGAATGCGCTGGCCGAAAGGGCATCTTCCCCGAGGCCAAAATGGATCCAGTAATACAGATCGCCAACATGGTAATCCGGCAGGGCGAACCAGAGCCCTTCATCCGCAATGTCTTCACACTGAATGTGTGCGCTCCGATCATTGGCAGCCAGGTGCTGTGCCACGACAAGGAGACCCAGATGCTGGACAAGTGGTCCGCGTTTGTGCGCGAGGTGGATCCGGACATTCTCACCGGCTACAACATTAACAACTTTGACATACCCTATCTGATCAATAGGGCAGCCCACCTGAAGGTGAAGAATTTCGAGTATCTGGGCAGGATTAAGAACATACGATCCGTGATCAAGGAGCAGGTGCTGCAGTCCAAGCAAATGGGTCGCCGCGAGAACCAGTATGTGAACTTCGAGGGCCGCGTGCCCTTCGATTTGCTATTTGTCCTGCTGCGGGAATATAAACTCCGTTCGTACACCCTTAACGCCGTGAGCTATCACTTCCTGCAGGAGCAGAAGGAGGATGTGCACCACAGCATTATCACGGACCTGCAGAACGGGGACGAGCAGACACGGCGCCGCCTGGCCATGTACTGCCTCAAGGATGCGTATTTGCCACTCCGCCTGCTGGAGAAGCTCATGGCGATAGTCAACTACATGGAGATGGCCAGGGTAACGGGCGTCTCCCTGGAGTGCCTGCTCACCCGCGGGCAGCAGATCAAAGTGCTCAGCCAGCTGTTGCGCAAGGCCAAGACCAAGGGCTACATAATGCCCTCGTACACGCCCCAGGGATCGGACGAGCAGTACGAGGGAGCCACGGTAATCGAACCGAAGCGTGGCTACTACGCAGATCCCATATCCACGTTGGATTTCGCCTCGCTGTACCCCAGCATAATGATGGCCCACAATCTCTGTTACACCACCTTGGTGCTGGGGGGAAGCCGGGAGAAGCTCAGGGAGAAGGATGGCCTGCAGGATGAGCAAGTGGTACGTACGCCGGCCAACAATTACTTTGTCAAGTCGGAGGTGCGACGAGGTCTGCTACCAGAGATCCTGGAATCCCTGCTGGCTGCCCGAAAGCGTGCCAAGAATGATCTGAAAGTGGAGACAGACCCATTCAAGCGCAAGGTCCTCGATGGCCGCCAATTAGCACTGAAAATCTCAGCCAACTCTGTGTACGGTTTCACCGGGGCCCAAGTGGGCAAGCTGCCATGCCTTGAGATCTCTGGGAGCGTCACAGCCTACGGCAGAACCATGATAGAACTGACCAAGAACGAGGTGGAATCTCACTACACCCGGGAAAATGGATACGAGAACGATGCCGTTGTCATCTACGGCGACACGGACTCTGTGATGGTGAATTTCGGCGTCAAGACTCTGGAGCGGAGCATGGAGCTGGGCAGGGAGGCGGCCGAGCTGGTAAGCGCCAAGTTTGTCCATCCGATAAAGCTGGAATTCGAGAAGGTCTACTATCCCTACCTGCTGATCAACAAGAAGCGCTACGCAGGATTGTACTTCACCCGGCCGGAGGCCTACGACAAAATGGACTGCAAGGGAATCGAGACGGTGCGGCGCGACAACTCTCCGCTGGTGGCCAACCTGATGAACTCCTGTCTACAGAAGCTGCTCATTGAGCGAGACCCCGACGGAGCCGTCACCTATGCCAAGCAGGTGATTGCGGATCTGCTCTGCAATCGCATTGACATCTCCCAGCTGGTTATCACCAAGGAGCTGGCCAAGACTGACTATGCGGCAAAGCAGGCGCACGTGGAGCTGGCCGCCAAGATGAAGAAACGCGATCCGGGCACAGCCCCGAAGCTGGGAGACCGCGTTCCCTATGTGATCTGTGCGGCGGCCAAGAACACGCCGGCCTATGCAAAGGCCGAAGATCCGTTGTATGTCCTAGAGAACAGTGTGCCCATCGATGCCACTTATTATTTGGAGCAGCAGCTGTCCAAGCCGCTGCTGAGAATATTCGAGCCGATCCTAGGGGAGAAAGCAGAGTCCATACTCCTCAAGGGAGAGCACACACGCACCCGCACTGTGGTCACGTCCAAGGTGGGCGGCCTGGCCGGATTCATGACCAAAAAGTCAGCCTGCCTGGGCTGTAAAACGCTGATGCCCAAGGGCTATGAGAAGGCGTGCCTGTGCCCGCACTGTGAGCCACGGATGAGTGAGCTATACCAGAAGGAGGTGGGTGCCAAGCGAGGGCTCGAGGAGACCTTTGCCCGCCTGTGGACTGAATGCCAGCGCTGCCAGGGATCGTTGCACGAGGAGGTAATCTGCTCGAACCGCGACTGTCCCATCTTTTACATGAGACAGAAGGTACGCATGGAGCTGGACACACAGGAGAAGCGTGTGCTGAGATTTGGACTGGCCGAATGGTAAATTTGTGGTTTGTTTAATCCTATAATTTAATAATTATATTACTAGAAGTTATTACAAAGTTCTTTCGTTTCGTTTCTTGGATTTCTCTGTGCAATTTGCAAGTTTGAAAAAAAAGCTGTAGACGAATCCTTAGCTGGCGACGCTTTGGATAAATATTTTTACACAGGGGTAGGGCTGATAGGTGGCGGCTAAGGGGCTGAGGATTGACTTGCGTTACGAGAACTATTTACGACTCTGCAGAGTGTTGGATAGCCAGTCCATGGCCTGGTCGAGGCCTTCGCCTTTGGTGGCGGATGTTTTGAATATTTGAAATGTGCGATTTTTAAGGTTCTCTAGCCCTAACGCATGATGCACCTCGGCCACGGTCATGCAGCCCTCCATGTCCTGTTTGTTGGCCAGGACAACGAGTATCGCTCCGGCCAGCTCCTCCTCCCGCAGCATATACAGCAGCTCGTCCTTAGAAATGCCAATCCGATCACGGTCCGCCGAGTCCACCACATAGATAATGGCATCCGTGTTGCTATAATAGCAACGCCAATACGGTCTGAAAATACCAATAACAATCACGTGGTTTTATCTCCGTTTCCACTCGTCTGTGTTTTATCTTTCGGCTGGCGCATACTCACCTAATACTTGTCTGTCCGCCCAGGTCCCAGACCTGGAACTTGAGGTTCTTGTATGTAACCTGCTCAACGTTGAAGCCAATCGTGGGTATCGTTGTCACCACTTCGCCCACCTGCAGTCTGTAGAGGATGGTCGTCTTGCCAGCGCCGTCCAGCCCCAGTATCAGTATGCGCATCTCCCTGGAGCCAAGCAGTCCGCGAAAGTAGCTTAGCACCCCACCTGCAAACAACAACAGCAAACAACAATTTTTATTTTCTACGACATGAAGACGAACGGACGACTCATCGTCACCGGCCCCCAGATTTTTTGGGGATGGTGATTCTCTGTTGCTGTCCTGTGTGGTCTGTGCTTACCCATGATTAAAGATCAACTTTATCTAGTGCTGGCGCTGCCTCTAAATGCTTAAATGTTTAACCTAAATAATTGTATTTATTCTACAATTAAATATAAAAAATATACGAAATAATCTTGTTTTCACTTTTTTGTCAGAATGGTTCAGGTTTTGGTATTCACTGTTTACGTGAACATGACGTGTCATGGCATACGTTCACAGTGAGTTTATAAAAATATTATTAAATGGCAGTGAAGTTCTTTCAATTATAACTGAACATATTGACAGTTTTAATAATTATGTGCTAATTAATAATAATAAATAAAAAATAGCATATTTTCTACGGTTATAATTTATTTGAGATGAACATATATTTGTATTCATTTTTAAATTGCAAAACTATCACAAACTGTAACTGTGACTGCGACTGTGACTGCTGTGAAAGAACTATTTCTTGCCGGCTAGCAGAGTTGACACCCCTCCAAATGGTTTAGGTTATGGCATTCACCGTGAACATGACGTGTCATACGTTCACAGCTATAAAAATTATTGTAATTTACAGTGATATTGAAGTTCTAAAAATGATATATTAATAAATAATAAAATACAAAATTGCATATTTTGTATGTTTGTAATTTATTTGATATATAGTATATATATATATATATATTTTTTTTTTTGCATTTTTACATTGCAGAACTAATTTTGTAAAGGTATATTTAAGAACAAAGGATATAGAAAGATATATCCATACGCTGGTTTTTTCAATTTTCGCTATCTCAGATCGGGCTTCCGTGCGTCATTTATTCCAATGGATAGCTTTAAGTCCTTGTCGCGCATTCAATTTCAAACAATCAGGTTTTATATACAAATAACTAATCAAATGCACGAATAGACCAACAAAATGCAATCTAAAACAAGGCCTTTATTAATTACATTTTAAAACAGCTTGGAAAAACGGTTTCTTCATATATATCAACGAAATAGGGTATACCTGCGCCCAAACTCCGGCTGACGTGACAGTTCACACTCACTTACGGCGCATTCCACATTCACTTACGTTGCCACTGTTTTTTTGTTGACCTTTTTTGTTTAAACCTTGCTGCTCAAAATACAATAAATGGGAGCACTAAAAACTAGCCAATCTTGTAGAAAATTTATTCATTAATGGCCTGAAATTATATGGGCAAAGCTAAAGGTTTTTGTTGGGCAGCATTATTCAACGGAATAAGGAAATTGAGCAATCGGAACGATTTTTCTCTTACGTTTTATTGCTTATAATTTATTTGACCATTTTCGCTAAAACCTTTTTTACGCAAAATGCAATAAAAGCAAGTGCTTAAAATAAAGCAGTCAGGTAGAAGATTGATTTATAAATCGTATAAAATTATGTGGAAATGGTTAAAGTTTTTAGTTCGGCAGCATTATTCAACGGAATAAAGAAATTGAGCAATTGGGACGATTTTTCTCTTACGTTTTATTACGTTTAATTTGCTTGACCATTTTCGCTAAAACCTTTTTTTACGCAAAATGCAATAAAAGCAAGTAGTTAAAATAAACCAGTCGGGTAGAATATTGATTCATAAATTGTATTAAATTATGTGGGCATGGCTAAAGGTTTTAGTTAGGCAGCATTATTCAACGGAAAATCAAAAACGAGGAATATGTAAAATATAACTTGAATTCGTCAGTATATTTACGGTATATTTTTATGTATACTTCTCAGAGTCGGACCGTATATTTCAACGGTCACACTGGAGACGTCCGCCATTTGCTGTCGCGTCGTTCGAGAAAATTGAAAAAAAGTGAAAAATAGTGCTAATAGGTAATATTATTGTGGCAAAATATTGCTATTCGGTGATTTGTTTAGTGTATTCCAAGTGGGACACAAGTTCTAGCAACTAAGTGGGGTTTATGTGACCGGCTTGTACCATTTGTGCAAAGTCAAACACAGACTGCGCAAAAAGTGTGACAAAAAAGCGAGTGAAAAACAATGATGCGATTAGATATCCCTCGGCTAAAAGATTCTGATATTTGTTTCAAACAATGCAATGTGCAATAACACACAAATGTGCATTTAGCTTCCACTTTTAGGTGTCGGTGCACCAGCTAGTTTTGTAATATATTCGGCGCCCTCGCACTACCCCCGCACTACCGCACAGGAGACCCGAAGTGAAAATGGCCTCGCCCTCGCCGGCGAACAGTCCCATGCCGCCACCACAGGCGCCCAGCCCGATGGCACCACCCTCACAGAGCCCAGCACCCTCGCCACATAGTCCGTACCCGCATCAGCAGCCGGGGCCGCCACAGGGACCACCGCCTGGAGCACCGCCCCACATGCAAGGGCCCCCGCCACCGGGCCACCCAGCTGCGTACGGACATCCGATGCAGCATGGACCACCAGGACAGGGCCCACCTCCGCATCATATGCCGCCACATCATCAGGGAATGAGTATGTTCTTGATATGCCACACACTCTTCTGTTGTCCATCACGCATAATCATTTTTAGTTTTCTCAAAAGGTCCGCACATGGGAATGCAGATGCCGCCGACGGGACCGAATATGTCGCCCATCGGATATCAGACACACGGAATGCCTCCCAATGTAAGTTTTGAATCCCCGCTCCCCCCGGGATGAGAGCAATCAACATCTTCGCATGTACTACTCGTATATGGCGCGAAAATTGTTTTATTGTTTATTATCTCCGCAAAACGCCGGCAATCTCCAAAAGCTCCGCACACAACAGCGAGCTTTCATGGGTATCGAAGCTCAAGCTTTTCAATTTAGATATTTTGTTGCAAACAATTTATTGTGGAATGTGATGCTTAAATTACTTTTTAACTGCCACACCCCCCACCGACTCCTCGAGGTCGGCCTTGCGCAACAAATCTTCGATTTCCTTACGCAACGTCTCTGTGCCTGCACAGATCAGATCTGGCTTCATGATGTCGAAAGGTCCGCCAAATGGATGAGTGACCACGCCCCCAGCTTCGCTCACTAGCAGGGAACCAGCAGCACAGTCCCAGGGATACATGTCCTCAATGTAGAATGCATCTAGATTCCCAGCTGCCACCATGCACAGCTCATCCACCACACAGGAGTAGGCCAGCAGGCTAGAGGATAGAGAGATAGATGTATAGAGATTCGGATAATAGGGTCTCTGCCACTCACCGTCTGGCATTCAGTCCCACATGGTAGATCCGTTTGATGTGCTTGTTGGCCACAGAGTGGACATGCAGCAGTGACACTTCATAGGCGACATTGGCATCCTTGATGCTCTCGCAGTTGCTCACACGGATCGGCTTGCCATTGCAGAAGGCCCCCTGCCCCAGCTTGGCTGTGAAGATCTTCTTCTGGGCGGGATTGTTAATGACACCCAGCACGATCTGTTTGTTGATGGACAAACCGATGGAGACACAGACATGAGGAATTTGTTTAATGAAATTGGATGTGCCATCGATCGGATCTATAATCCAGGTGGGAACATCCGTTAGCTCCTTGGAAACATTATTATTCTTTGCTGTTTCCTCCTCGCCAATGAACTTGTGATCCGGATAGCTGGCCAGTATCTGCTCCATGAGAAAATCCTCGATTTTGTTATCGTAGTCGGTGACCACATCGTAAAAGTCCCCCTTAATGGAGACATTCTTGCTCGTGCGCTCGTAGCCCTCCATCAGGATCTCACCCGCCTGAACGGCCAGTGGATAGATGAAGCTGAACAGCTCTTCCACAACATCCGATTGCCATCCTGCTGCCGACTGCGACATTCTCTGTTTCAGTAACTGATCTTGCGATGTAAACGAGGCGGTGCTTCGTCGCTCAGCTTGCGTTGCCAACTAATCAGATATGCACGATACGAAGCGATAGGCCGCCTGGCTGGGTTGCTGGGTGGCTGGATGGCTGTATGGCTGCCTGGAAGTGGTGTTGTATGGGGAGGAGGAGCTTTGATTATATTTAGCAGGCACAATTGTCTCCCAGCTTTGATTGTTTGCTTCTCGTTGGCTACATTGAGTTTTATGATAGCCCGAAGCTTGTACTCAAAATTGGCATCTCACCTGTCCCAGTGCTTGTTTTATCTCAATTTGTTTGTTGAACGTACGTACGTACGTACACAAATATTCGCTTTTTATCTCACAGACAGTTGTAAAACCAGTTTTTATCAGACCCCCCGTCCCTCCGTAAGTTCGTTTCCTCTCGTATCTGTCGTGAATGATCTTTTCAAACTGGAGGCTACTGTCATTTATGGAACAGTAGAAATGGAGAGGCATCGGGCTCATCTTTTGTGTACACTTTATTGCAGTATGCTCACTGGAACGTATATTCCGTAATCCGATCGGCCTCCTTTATCAACTGGATCACGTTCTGGGCCAACTCTTCGGTGCAGGCGCAGACACAGTCCGGTTGCATCACCTCGAATTTGCCGCCACTGGTGTGGTAGATCCTGCCACCCGCTTCGGTGAGGATTATGGCCCCAGCGGCCAGATCCCAGGGCTTCAGATTCTCCACATGATAGGCATCACAACGTCCGGTGGCTATATAGCAGAGCGTCAGAGCTGCACTGCCCAAACTTCGAATGCTGATTGCCAAGGAGGGCATTTCGTAGTAAAATATAAATAGGATAGTACGGATATATGGGGAAACGAGATCAGAGACTTACGCAGTGGCATTCGATCCCAGCTTGAAGAGACGCTTCACGTTCTGGTCCCGCCCCTTAGCCACAACGATTAGCGACATTTCATAGCCCACAACAGCCTGTTGGATCTGCCAGAAGAGAAGATATAAGAGCGCTAGTCAGAGTGACTGGATGATCTACTCTTATCTATTACTCTCTTCGTCGCTACCACTCACCGTGACTACCTTCGAGGCTACGCTGATGGGTTGGCCATTCAAGAAGGCTCCCTGACCCTTGCGCGATGAGTACAATTCATTGGTCGCCGGATTGTAGATGATGCCCGCCATCAGCTCCTTGTTGATGGCCAGGCCCACGGAGATGCAACAGTGGGGAATTTTGCGTACGAAATTGTTGGTTCCATCGATGGGGTCTATGATCCAGGTGGGGTCATCGGTTAGCTCGGCTTGATCCAGCGATCCATCCAGCGCTTCTTCGCCAATGATGCGGGACTCGGGGAAGGCCTTGAGCAGACCAGCCGTGAGAGTGGCTTCGATCTGTTGGTCGTAGACGGTGACCAGGTCATAGAAAGCTGACTTCACATCGTAATCAGTTTTGGGCTTCAGAAAACCCTCCAGGAACAGGGGACCACATTGCTTGACCAGCTCCAGGGACACTTTATAGTATTCCTGGAGTTTTATTTCACTGATTTGGTGGTTACTCATGTCTCTTCCGGGCGGGCACTACCAATTTTTCCATCGCAGCAGCTGTTGTAGCAAAGCTTTTTGTGAGCTTTTCCCCAGAAATTCCAGTCCAAACTTGGAATGATAAAGTTTTATTTATTTGAATGTTTACTTTAATCTGTGCTCGCTCTCTCGAAGAGTCTACATTTTTATTACAAACGATATATAATGTTTTGTTTTTTTGTGTCGCCGGACTCTACTTGAATGTGTAGCTCTTTATCTGATTGGCCTCCTCGATAAGACTAATCACATTCTGGGCCAACTCCTCCGTGGAGGCGCACACGCAATCCGGCTTCATCACATCGAATTTCCCGCCATTCGTATGGCAAACGGTGCCCCCGGCTTCCGTGAGAATAATAGCACCGGCAGCTATGTCCCAGGGCTTCAGATCCTCCACATGGTAGGCGTCACACTGGCCGGTGGCCACGTAGCAGAGGGTCAGGGCGGCGCTGCCGAAGCAGCGCGTTCCGGTGGCATTGGAGGCCAGCTTGTACAGACGCTTGATATTCTTGTCCCGAACGGCAGCAGCGTGAATCAAAGAGATCTCGTAGGCAATCACGGCTTGGTTGATCTGGAAGAGAGAGGATAGGATACAAAGAGAGAAAGAGTTGAGAGGAGAGCTTAGAGCTTTTGTGCTGTGAGAGAACGACGCTAATCAACGCTAATGCTCTCTCTCTCTCGCGCGAATGCCAGTAAATCAAGGTCGCGCGAGGGAGGGAGTGAGGTGAGGTGTAGTGCATGCACAGTTATTTTGTGATTTTCGTGTATCTTGTTTGCGGGTTCTTGCTATTCCCATTCTATATTCATTCATTATATAAGCTTTCTCTCACCGTCGTCACTTTGGATGTGCTTATCGGCTCGCCATTGAGGAAGGCGCCGTGTCCCTTCCAGGCGGAGAACAGCTCATTTGCCGGCGGATTGTAGATGACGCCCACCACCAGCTCCTTGTTGATGGCCAGCCCCACGGAAATGCAACAGTGTGGTATTCTGTGTATGAAGTTCGTGGTGCCATCGATGGGATCTATGATCCAGGTGGGGGCATCCGTCAGTTCCGCCTGCCGCTGCGAGGCCGCCGACTCTTCCTCGCCAATGATGCGGGACTCGGGAAAGGCCGCGCTCAGTCCCTCGGTGAGAATGTCCTCAATCTGCTTGTCGTACACGGTGACCAGATCGTAAAAGTCCGACTTGACCTTGAAGTCGGTCTTCGCCTTCTGGTAGCCCTCCTGCATGAGGGGTCCGCACTTTAGCACCAGTTTGAGGGCCACATCGTAGTACTCCTTGAGCTTAGTCTCGCTGACGGGGGGGTTACTCATTGTGATGGCTGCGGCGGCTGCTGTCGTTCAACTAAAATGCCATCGTAGTTGTGTGGGCTCAAGAACAGATGTAAACTGCAAAGCTCTTCGGCCAGAAGCTTTTTCCATTCACTAGAACTTTGAACTTTTGCCAAAAGAAGGAGAAGGCAGCAACGATAAGCGATAGAAGATAGAGTTGTTCTGCACCGTCAATGGATTGTGGGAGCAAACAGAAGTGCCACTAAGATGGATTACCATCGCAAACAGAGATCCGAGTTGCTGTCAATGTCATTCCATCTTTCGGAGTTTGCCCACAGATATATCAGAGGGGGAGTGGGAGGAGGAGCAAACAGATCAGTGCAGATCTGTGTGCTCCGCCTACATTATCTCTGCAAAAAAGAGCTGTTTACAGAGAACAAAGCAGAGAAGAATGATGAAGGCAAAAGATAATTAGAGGAGCTAGAATGATGATTGGCCACATTTCGCATAGTTTATTCTTTTTCCAACAAAGATATTCATTCACTATCGCCACCCCCCACATGCTTCTCCTGGTCCGCCTTGCGTATGAGCTGCTCGATCTCCGCCCGCAGGGACTCGGTGCCAGCACATATGAGGTCTGGTTTCATGATCTCAAAGGGGCCGCCATAGGGATGGGTTACCACACCGCCAGCCTCCCGGATGAGCAAGTAGCCGGCGGCACAGTCCCAGGGGAACATGTCCTCGATGTGGAAGGCATCCAGATTGCCGGCAGCGACCATGCACAGGGAATCCACCACAGCCGAGTAGGCCAGAAGGCTGGACAAATGTAGAGAATAATGAATGAGCAAAAGGAAGATCCGTTGGGTCGTGTGCGGCACTTACCGCCTGGCATGCGATCCCACGTGATAGATGCGCTTGATGTGCTTGTTGCGGATCTTTGGGGCGTGCAGCAGACACACTTCGTAGGCCACATTGGCGTAATTTAGATGCTCGCAGCTGCTCACGTGGATGGCCTCGCCATTGCAGAAGGCGCCCTGCCCCAGCTTGGCGGTGTATAGCTTCTTCTGGGCGGGATTGTTGACCACTCCCAGCACGATCTGTTTGTGGATGGACAGGCCAATGGAGACAGAGACATGGGGAATTTGTTTGATGAAATTGGACGTGCCATCGATGGGATCAATGATCCAGGTGGGGGCATCCGTTAGCTCCTTGGTCACATTGTTGTTCTTGTGCGTGTCCTCCTCCCCGATGAACTTGTGGTCCGGATAGCTGGCCAGTATCTGCTCCATGAGGAACTCCTCTATCTGATTGTCATAGGCGGTCACCACGTTGTAAAACTCCCCATCCTTGAGGGACACTGCCTTGCCCGCGTTCTCGTAGCCCTCGAGGAGTATTGCTCCCGCTCGCACTGCCAGCGGATGGATGAAGGTGTAGAGCTCCTCAATTAGCTCCCTGCTGGCCGCCATCTCTAATGTCTGTTTGTCTCTTTATAATTGTGCCTGTATCTGTTATCTGAATTGTGTGTCTGCTGCTAGAGAGATTGCGCTTCGTTCTGGCTCTGTTCTGTTTTGTTCTGTTCTGATTTGGCTTCGAGTGAATCAGGCACTGGAAGCATCCAACGGCCAGCAGCCGGCAGCCAGCGGCAGTCGAACGGGTTTTGTGTGACTAAAGCTTTTTCCCTTTATTTGCTTTTGAATTGAATTTAACTTTTATTTATTCGGAAAAGCTCTCGCGGATATGAACCCCAGCTCTCAGTCACTAGAGACAATAGCTAATATCAGATCTCTCTCTATCTCTCTCTCATCCATGCTCTCGTCGTGCTGCTTGCAGGCACCTGGCACACAACCGTGCATAGTCTCTCCGGGTGGACCCCCGGGCGGACCACCGCCGCCAGAGCGCTCCAGCCAGGAGAATCTGCACGCCCTGCAGCGGGCCATCGATTCGATGGAGGAGAAGGGACTGCAGGAGGATCCGCGCTACTCCCAGCTGCTGGCCATGCGGGCCACCTCGAAGCACCAGCATTTGAATGGCAATCAGGTCAATCTGTTGCGCACACAGATCACTGCCTACCGGCTGCTGGCGCGGAATAAGCCCATATCCATGCAGATGCAGCAGGCGCTGCAGGCGGCCCAGCAGCAACCGCCGCCAGGGCCACCGATTGGGCCACCGGGCACGCCTGGTGGACCACCGCCTGGTCCGCAGCAGCAGCAACAGCAGCATCCAGGTCAACCGCCAGTTCCACCTCAGCAGCAGCAGCAACAACAGCAGCAGCCGCCGCCAGTCACAGGAACGCCGCCGCAATGCTCCACACCGCCTGCCACTAGCCCGTACGGGCAGCCAGTGCCCGGCCAGAAACTGCAGGCGGTTCCTCCACCGCCGCACATGCAACAGGGCCAGCCTCTGCCGCCACAGCCTCCGGTGGTGGGAGGACCACCGCCCCAGCAGCAGCCGCCGCCTCCGCAACAGCCGCCATCGCAGCAGCAGCAGCAGCCACCGCCGGAACAGCTGCAGCACCAGCTGCCGAACGGAGGCAAGCCACTGGCGATGGGTCCAGCTGGCGGTCAGCCGCTGATTCCACCATCTCCCATGCAGCAGCAGCAGCAGCCACAGCAGAGGACAGCTCCGCCTGGCATGCCACCCGGTGCACAGGTGCCTCAGCCAGGGGGCCCACCGCGGCCTGGAGCCCCGCCCGGCCAGCATCAGCCGATGCCCAAGCCCAATCGAGTGACAACCGTGGCCAAGCCGGTGGGTCTGGATCCCATCACGCTGCTGCAGGAGCGGGAGAACCGCATTGCGGCCAGAATCTCGCTGCGGATGCAGGAGCTGCAGCGCCTGCCCGCCACCATGTCAGAGGATTTGCGCATTCAAGCGGCCATCGAGCTGAGAGCCCTGCGGGTGCTCAACTTCCAACGGCAGCTGCGCATGGAGTTCGTGCAGTGCACCAGACGGGACACCACCCTGGAGACGGCGCTGAACATCAAGTTCTACAAGCGGACCAAGAGGCAGGGTCTTCGGGAGGCACGGGCCACCGAGAAGCTGGAAAAGCAACAGAAACTGGAGGCCGAGCGGAAGCGGCGGCAGAAGCATCTGGAGTTCCTGGCTGCGGTGCTACAGCACGGCAAGGATCTGAGGGAGTTCCACCGGAACAATAAGGTGAGTGAGAGGGCGAGAATGACCATTAAAATGTCGGCTAATCCTTGGTATAATTCCCATTTCAGGCTCAGCTGGCGAGGATGAACAAGTCGGTGATGAATTACCATGCGAATGCCGAGCGTGAGCAGAAGAAGGAGCAGGAGCGCATCGAGAAGGAGCGCATGCGGCGCCTGATGGCTGAGGACGAGGAGGGCTACCGCAAGCTGATCGATCAGAAGAAGGACAAGCGACTGGCCTTCCTGCTCTCGCAGACGGACGAGTACATCAGCAATCTCACGCAGATGGTCAAACAGCACAAGGACGATCAGATGAAGAAGAAGGAGGAGGAGGGCAAGCGCCTGCAGCTCTACAAGAAGGAGCTCCTCATGAGCGGCGAGTACATTGGCATCGATGAGAGCAGCATTGTGGCCGACATGCGGGTGAATGTGATCGAAACGTGCACCGGCAAAAAGCTTACCGGCGACGATGCCCCCATGCTTAAGCATTTGTATCGCTGGCTCAGCATGCATCCTGGCTGGGACTGGATAGACGATGATGATGATGGCAGCGGCATTGGCGGTTCCATGGGTTCCATGGGCATCAACGAGGACCACAAGCCAAAGCTGGAGGAGCAGCCGCAGCAGTCAACCGAAGATGTCACCGACAAGTCGGCGGCACCACCGCAGCCGGGCGATGACGGTCCCAAGGATCTGATGACGCAGGCCAAGGTGGAGGACGACGAGTACAAGACGGAGGAGCAGACCTACTACAGCATTGCGCACACCATACACGAGAAGGTGTACGAGCAGGCGGCCATCATGGTCAACGGCCAGCTCAAGGAGTACCAGATCAAGGGTCTCGAGTGGCTCGTCTCGCTCTACAACAACAACCTGAACGGCATCCTGGCCGATGAGATGGGCCTGGGCAAGACCATCCAGACGATTTCCCTCGTGACCTATCTGATGGACCGCAAGAAGGTGATGGGTCCCTTCCTGATCATCGTGCCGCTGTCCACGCTGCCCAATTGGGTGCTCGAGTTCGAAAAGTGGGCACCCGCCGTGAGCGTGGTCAGCTACAAGGGCAGCCCCCAGGGCCGCAGGCTGCTGCAGAACCAGATGCGTGCCACCAAGTTCAATGTGCTGCTGACGACATACGAGTACGTGATCAAGGACAAGGCGGTGCTGGCGAAGATCCAGTGGAAGTACATGATCATCGACGAGGGACATCGCATGAAGAACCATCACTGCAAGCTCACCCAGGTGCTGAACACCCACTACATAGCCCCGTATCGGCTGCTGCTCACGGGCACACCGCTCCAGAACAAGCTACCCGAACTGTGGGCCCTGCTCAACTTCCTGCTGCCCTCCATCTTCAAGTCCTGCTCCACCTTTGAGCAATGGTTCAATGCCCCATTCGCCACCACCGGCGAGAAGGTCGAGCTGAACGAGGAGGAGACCATTCTGATCATTCGTCGTCTGCACAAGGTGCTGCGCCCCTTCCTGCTGCGACGCCTCAAGAAGGAGGTGGAACACCAGCTGCCCGACAAGGTCGAGTACATCATCAAGTGCGACATGTCGGCGCTGCAGCGTGTGCTCTACAAGCACATGCAGAGCAAGGGCGTCCTGCTCACCGATGGCTCCGAGAAGGGAAAGCACGGCAAGGGTGGGGCCAAGGCCCTGATGAACACAATTGTTCAGCTGCGGAAGCTGTGCAACCATCCGTTCATGTTCCAGGCCATCGAGGAGAAGTATTGCGACCACACCGGAGGCCATGGCGTCGTCTCGGGTAAGAACGAATCCTCAAAGCTAGCATTGTTCATTGTACTCAAATACTGATCTCTAGGTCCGGATCTATATCGCGTGTCGGGAAAATTCGAGCTGCTTGATCGCATCCTACCAAAGCTGAAGGCCACCAACCACAGGGTGTTGCTCTTCTGTCAGATGA